GAGTATCGTATCCGGATACAACATTTTAGTATCGATACTTTTGAAAATGAGTATCGTATCCGGATACAACATTTTAGTATCGATACTTTTGAAAATGAGTATCGTATCCGGATACAACATTTAAGTATCAATCCTTTTGACAACCCTACGGCCTTGTGATTCATCCTGTTTTTTCTCTCTCTCTTTCTTTTGGTAAAACCAAACAGCTCGGCCCATGACCAGGATGAGTCTGACCAGCCCCACCATCGTGGCGCGGGCCCAAAAGCGGCCGATGACCGTGGCCACCTGTGTGGCCGCCAACGGGAAGCCCCAGAGCGTCATCAAATGGGAAACCAGGCTGAAGGGGAACCCCACCCAGCAGACCACCCAGAACGCCAACGGGACCTCCACCATTCGGAGCAACTACGTGCTGATACCCAGCCGGGAAACCCACAAACAGAAGCTAACCTGCGTCGTAACGTACCGGAACGAGAAAATCACAGACAGCGTGGTGCTCAACGTCCAGTGTAAGGGTGTTTTTGGTCTGTTATAGGGCAAGGAGAACCATTAAGGAGCTCTTTAGACGTGGTAGTTTCCACCCTAGACTTACAGTGGCCAGGGACGCGTATAATTTCCACACGTTTCTCAAACCACGACACGGCCAATATGGGAACCCAAAGCCCAAAGCCCAAAATGCCCCGTTTGCTTAAAGTCTGGCCGTCCATTATACAGGAGCAAAGATGTATAGTAACCAAGTAGAACTACTTAAGTATTGTAGTTAACTACCAAAATGCAGTATCTGTACTTTATTGGAGTATATACAGTGGGGGAAATAAGTGTTTGAGCCCTTGCTGATTTTGCAGGTTTGCCCACTTACAAAGAATGCAACGATCTATAACTTTAATCATATGTACATTCTAACAGTGAAAGACAGAATCCCAAAGAAAATTCCAGAAAATCACATCATATGAATTTATAAAAATTGGTAACCATCTGATGAGGAAAAATAAGCATTCTTTGTAAGTGGGCAAACCTGCAAAATCAGCAAGGGCTCAAACACTTATTTCCCCCACTGTAGCTTTTTTGTTGGTGTTGATATTCAAGACGGACACAAAACCCGACGTTTTTGGGTTAGTCTCCTTTCAATTAAAGCTCTGACCAACTGAGCAAACTCTGTAAGTCTAATGACAAAATGTAGATTTCTAGAAATGAACTAAAGGATTATATTCAAGACCAACAAAAATAAGACTTTTGGGGTTAGTCTTACTCGACTGTTTGGGTTTTGTGGCAAACCAACTGAGCGAATTGTGTGTTTAATTGTGTTTAAATCTAATGAGAAAATGTAGATTTCTGGCCGGGTTTTGGGGGAAATGAACTAAAAACAAGGTGTGTTTGTTTGTTGCAGATGAACCGGACGTGAAGATCGAGGGCTTTGATGGAAACTGGTACCTGAACCGTCAGAACGTCCAGCTGAACTGCAGAGCCGATGCTAACCCCCCGGTCACCATCTACCAGTGGAAACTGTGAGTCCCGGTCCGAAAAAAAGCCTCCTTAAAGGGGACATATTATGCAAAACCAAGTCTGGATAGAGTTTAATTCAGTGTTTGCAAGATTCATTTCAATATTTTTAAATTAATGTCTATATTGCCATGAAGCATTACTATTCTCTTGCCTGGGATCTTCCTATTGGTGATGTTATCAAAATGGCCGACTTGGATGTGGGCGGAGTTGGATATGTACTTGATTAATGGTAGCATGTTATTATTAGCCATTAGCCGCAGCTAGCAATTCAAGGCTAACGTCTTGGTAATGACCATAAACAACGATCATAATCATGTGATTGTGTACATTTGGGACTGTGGAGGGCCTATCAGCAGGAAAAGCGTGAAAAAAAATGAGTGGGTCATGTTTTTGTGGGCCGCCTCAGTCTGAATCCAGGAGATAAATCAGGAGGT